TGTTTTTATTTGTGTTGATAATCTTGTTTAATGGATTAGCACGATTTTACAATGTTAGGATGTTGTCTTCTTTATCAGGATAAATGGGTGTTGAGGTCGTAGGTTTTGAGATGGCAACCTCACCAGTAGCAGCTGTAAATGAAGTTGACAAGTCTTCTCTCCACGAGAAACAAAATGGGAAGTTGGAGAACGAATCCATCAAATTTGGTTCGCACGGAGATGATCCTTCTCAAGTAGAAGAAAGCAATGTATCCAATTTCCCCAAGGAAGCAGTTGAAGAGTGGCCTGAACCTAAGAAGATCCATACTTTCTACTTTGTCAGGCACCGATTATACAATGATCCAAAAATAAAAGCGAAAATAGACCAGACTGACAAAGAGCTCGAGAGGAGGAATCATGTCCTGTTTCAACTCAATGATGAAATGAGAGCAAAGAAGGTAAATTTAAGGGTCTAACTGTAATTCTGCCATCCTATCACGTTGTTGCTTGTCCATAAAAACTCAAGGTATATATCATTGTGCTTTATGCTCCTCAGTAATGTTTGTGATACATTATTTTGGAATTTGTCAAATGTTGGAGAAAAGTCTTTTGATAACTGATCTTAAGGAGAACATGAATTCCAATAACTTTTCATAGGTAAAGAAGTTTTGATTTGTGGCAGCACGAGTCAACGAGTTAGTGCGGTTAAAATTCCCTATTATTCAGGCTTTTTCTTGTTCTTCTTCTTTTTGGAACAAACAACATGACATTATCAAATGAGAGTGAATAGGGTTAAGCTATGAATGGAAACTGTATCAAAACTGCTTGAATAGGCTATGATGTCCAAGGATAGTGCACATATAATCCTCGGGCTGCCAGTAAGCATAAAAATTAAGAAATTGAGAGGGTTTGTTTTCTTCTCTTTTGAGTGATGGGAGGTTTTTCACAACTAGCTTTTTAATAATATAACATTATTGAGATGTGTTGGAGTAATGTTAATCTTTCTTTTTAAATGTTAATTTCGGTTGTTTCATAGTCTCTAAATGGTCAAGATGAGAGATGTCTTGCGGCGATCTTGGAAATACAGTCATAATTATACGAGAATACTATTTTTTAAATGTTCATTTGATTCATATTTAAGGATTATATAACATTTATTTTATTTTCTAATATGATGGTATAATAAAATAACTTGTGACTTTTAAGTTTACATTTTAATGCCACAATGGTGATTGAGATTTTCATTGGACGATAGGAAATAGTACTTTTGAGATGCTATACATTAATGAAAGATACTTGGATGTAATGACAACATGGTGGTATCATATGTTCTTTTTCCTTTCTGATGATGCTCTAACTTGTGTGGTCATTCTTAATGCTATAAGCCTTTTCAGGATATCGGGTTTTGTTTCTCATTAATTTTTTTCAAATCATTTATGTTTTCCTTTCAGTTAATTTGCTAATAATCATGTGTCATTGTAAGGTTGAAACTTTTGCGCCTTCCATGTTCTTGTGGAGGGAGGAGATGTTGTTTGACAGGAATCCATTGGTTATCTTATTATTTCGTGTACTACTTCATGTATATTTGACAGATTTCTCCAAAATCTCATAGATTTAAGATGGTAAGATGGTTATAAAAATCACAGCTATTAGTTCATGTGAAGGATTGCTGGTAAGGTGGTTGTGGCAAAATTAATTAGAATTAAAGATTTTATTTTGATAATATTCCTAAAATAGCAACTAGAATGAAAAAAGTAAATTCTGTTATGGTTCTATAGGATATTCCAGTTGTTAAACCAATATTTTTATTGTAATTGTAAGGAATGAACAAAATTTCAGCATTGAATCCTAATCTAATTTTTTTTTCTTTTCCTAGGCTGAAAGGTCGGAGCTGAGTGCTCAGTTGTATGCTTTGGTAACTGAGCGAAGGGGATTTAAAGAAATTTTGGATGTGAAGAAAAAGGAGATGGAACCTTTGCAGCAGGCTCTGGGGAAGCTGCGCAACACAAATAGTGGTTTATGCTCATCTGAGGAGGAACTCAATGATCTTGTATGAAGCAACTGCAAGCATTAAATATTGTTTGAGTTCATTTTCAGCTGTGTTTTTTTTTTTCTTTTACTTTCTGATTGGAGATTTTGGTGAATACAGATCCAGAGCTATCAGTACCGCATCCAACATGAGAGCATCCCATTAGCTGAGGAGAAGCAACTCCTTAAGGAAATCAAGCAGCTTGAGGGGACAAGGGAAAAGGTTAGAGCTCAAGATGCAATGAGAGCAAAGATTCAGGACTCTATGGGTCGAAAAGAATCTATTCAAGACCAGGTTAAGGTAAGCAATTCAACTTATAAGTTTATAAAAGGTTTCCCATGGTTATCACAAACTTCAGAAGGTCACCAGACATCTTCTAATAGTTTCCTATATTTTTTCGTTTTAGCTCATGGGTGTCGATTTGAATGGAGTAAGGAAGGAGCACCAAGCGATTTCTGGAAAGATTAGTCACCTAGAAGAAAAAAGGAGGGCAGTGGACAATGATCTCAAGGCTTTGGAAATTGAGAGAAATGCTGCCCTAGAAAAGAGGAA